ATCTGGCATGCTTTGCAATATATTGCAAATGAATTATCCTTTTATGAACTTCAAGTTCATATTATTTTATTCGGGGATCTAGATGTATAAATGATAATTCATTCCATGTAACTTTTTCTCAACTATTGTATCTTGTCTCCCCTCATGTTAGAAAAACTAACTTGTTTCCTCAACTTTGAGAACCCATCTTTGTGCGTTATGGTGTTAATCAAAATATATACCGCACATCAATAATAATGAGATAGAATTATTTGGTTCCAGACCCTGAAACCACTTGTGAGGGGAGAATGTAATATACTTTCGTATATAACCTATATCAAACTGATATAGATAACTTTGTTCTCATAAGCAATAGTTTAGCTATTAAGTGGAGGCACTCAATAAATTATTTTGCTAAACCAACTGTGATGTAAACCAACTTATCAAGATCAACTATCTTGAATAGCAAATCTGAAAATTATGCTCGAAATTAAATTATTGAGCAAGTTACCTCGCACACACCGACCAGGTTGCGGATTAATAATAATTGCACATGTAACCATCTCATAGATGCATCTTATGTGGTATACATGGCAGATGAATGGACCCATATTCACCTTTGATATTTCCAGCATTCATGGGATTCAATCCCAATTTTAGTTGATCTATTAATTAATGAGAACAAGCAATATAAGAGAATTCGTAAAGAACTTTCTAGTTCTTTAATATTTACCCATGTGAATTCTCTATTATTTTTGCACATCATACATGAATTAACATGGCTAAACCAAGTATGCCAACTGGATAAATTATCAATATTGATAAACTTCAGGTTTACACCATGATGTGTGCAATTATGAATAAACTCCAAGTTTATTATGATAAGGGTTTTTATATCAATAAATATCCACTTCATTGTGGTATTCTTTTGTTTATGTAGTACAAATTGGAGAATAAAGCGGGTAGCTTTTCACATACATATTACCCCGTTACAAGATGTAGTAATAGAAGATATTAAATCTTTCCTTTATTTATAGTCTCAATATAATCAACCGCTTTCGCGTATACTTTGAAAACTGAATAAGTTTCTCTGAGTCTTACTACAACACAATACCTTATTGGTAACTAATTGTGTTTCTCCAAAATAGTATAATTGGCTCTTGCAGAGTTCTCAATTAATTTTGTAGTACCACATATTCATCAACACCCATATGGTGAATATCTCTTTTAAAGAGAAAGTTATACCATTATGGTTATGGTCAAAATTATATGCAAGATCTGTTTCTTGCATAAATTTTGAAGAGGGATTCAAGGAGGAATGATTAGAGGTAAGTTCCTTGGCCTAAATACTCGAGATTTTGTTAAATTTAACATGGAAATTGGTTGGAATTCATTAAAAGGGGTAAAGCTAGGGCTTGAGTTTTTGATATTTCAAATTGGGATTTGATAGGTCATTTGAGCTCGGATTTGGGAGTTCTTGGTATGTATGGACTCGTGGCGAGACGAGGAATCCGGTAATGTAAATTTTGTAATTTTTCGAGAAGCGGGCCCGGGGCTCGGGTTTTGCTAGTTTCGAGATTTTTGCTAATTTTCGATTGCTTTCGATTGGGTATTGTTCCATTGGCATATTGTGATGTATTCGCTCTGATTTTGTTAGATTCGACGCGCGTGGAGGCCGATTTGAGGGGCAAAGGCGTCGCGAGCTAGAGATTTCACCGGTTCGAGGTGAGTAATACTTGTAAATGATATCCTGAGGGTCTGAAACCCTGGATTTGCACACCATAGTGCTGTATTGAGGTGACTTGCATGCCGGATATGAGCGTGGGTTAGAGCACCATTGGGGATTGTGACTTGGTCCGTCCCGGTTGTTGATTTTTACCGCGTATTTGACTGAACTACTTGTTATTATCATAATCTGGGCTGATTGCCATGTTTGGGCTTCGTGCCAACTACGTGAATCCTTCAGGGATTGATATCACCGTTTTCGCATTATTTGTGCACACTATTTGATCTCGGTCTAGGGTTTTAATACTAATTTGCAAACTCAGCCATTTTTCTAAGATTTGAAAACTTAAACAACATGTTATTGACGTTTTGAACTGAGAACTGTTATTTTGATATTGCCCAAGTGGCTTATGTGCATTTCTAGACTGAGCATGGATCGGGCTGCACGCCGCAGCGGTGTGATATTGATATTGCGCTTGGGCTGTAGGAGCCCCTCCGGAGTCTGAACCCCCACAGTGAGCGCGGGTACCCAAACGGATCGGGCTGCGCGCCACAGCGGTCAAGTGCATTGCATTGCATTCATGCATTGGTTCGTGTTTGTACTACGTGGCATGACATTCAGCACTCTCATATCATTGGCATCCATGCTACTTCGTGCACTGTTTACCAGATACCCTGGTGTTATTTGTTAACTGAGTGCTGCCCGAGGGGCTGACTTATGTGCGGACTTGCACTATCTGATTACGCATTTATTTGCTTGACTGTTGGAAAAGGATATTTTCAAAAGAGGTTTTTAAACTGAGCCAGATATTTTCTAAAGGATTTTTCACGGTTTTACTGTTTTCTCAAAGGGTTGTACTGTCCTATATAGCATGATGGAGTGATCTTACGTGATTTCTTGCCTCTCAGTTATTATCTACTCTTATTACTCACTGAGTTGGAAGTACTCACTTTACTCCCTGCACCTCGCGTGCAGTTGCAGGTATCGTTCACCCGGTAGCGGGTTATTAGCGGATTGAAGGTATTGTTATTGTAGCTGAGCAAGGTGACCGCTAGCGTTCGCGGCACCGGATGTTGTCTTTTGTTTTCCAGAAATTTTACTTGTATATATTTATTGGCCTGTAGTTGTGTTAAGGTTTCCTTAGATGCTCGTGACTTGTGACACCCCGGTCGGGTAGTAATTAACAGTTTCTAATGCCATTAAGTTGTATCTTCTATTCATTTATGTTTAATAATTGTTAGTGAAAGGATTTGGGTTAGTTGGCTGGCCTTGTCTTCACGAGAGGCGCCATCACGACCGGGTATGGGAATTGGGTCGTGACATAATCGCACATGTAACCATCTCATAGATGCATCTTATGTGGTATACATGGCAGGTGAATGGGCCCGTATTCACCTTTGATATTTCCAGTATTCATGGGATTCAATCCCAATTTTAGTTGATCTATTAATTAATGAGAACAAGCAATATAAGAGAATTCATAAAGAACTTTCTAGTTCTTTAATATTTACCCATGTGAATTCTCTTTTATTTTTGCACATCATGCTTAAATTGATATGGCTAAACTGATTATGCCAACTGGATAAATTATCAATATTGATAAAGACTAGGTTTACACCATGACGTGTGCAATTATCGATAAACTCCAAGTTTATTGTGATATGGATTTTTATATCAATAAACATCCACTTTATTGTGGTATTCTTTTTTTTGTGTAGAATAAACTGGAGAATAAAGCGGGTAATTTTTCACATACATATCACCTCGCTACAAGTTGTAGTAATAGGAGATATTAAATCTTTCCTTTATTTATAGTCTCAATATAATCAACCGTTTTCGCTATACTTTGGAAACTGAATAAGTTTCTTTGAAACTTACTACAACACAATACCTTATTAGTAATAAACTGTGTTCCTCCAAAATAGTAATAATTGGCTCTTCCAGAGCTCTCAATTAATTTGGTACTACCACATATTCATCAACATCCATATGGTGAATATCTCTTTTAAAGAGAAAGTTATACCATTATGGTTATGGTCATAATTATATGCAAGATATGTTTCTTGCATAAATGTTATTCTTTAATAATCACATTGCCAAAATATTTTGGCGTGCAATAGGTACGTGACCAATGACCATTCATGCCATAATAATGACAATATTTTCTTATATCATCTCAAACCTCCTTCTAGAGGTGAGTGTGGTATATACCACTAGCACGCTCATATTCTTCCAAAAATGAATATGTATTCTTAAATCAGATGTTGTCACATTCACATCATGAATAGACCATAATCATCTATATGTGCTTTATAAAATCTCATGTCAAATCGATGACAAATATTTTCACAACTGGGGGATAATTTTGAGAATCCTTATTATTCTCATTATCACAATGATGACGATTATAATTTCGTCTATTGCCACGTCCACATCCATTGATACATTCATAGTGATAATTTTGTCTTCTTTCAGACTTATCACATACTGCTATCACATTCTCTTAAGGGAATGAGAATGGAGCAAATTCAATGGGACGGGTTTCCACTTTTTGTGCCCATAATCATACATGAATTTGATCATGGCAAGACATAGAAACTTTTACGACTTCAGGTGGTTATAATTTCTTACAAACTCCATTAGAGTTATAATCAAACTTTGTTGTCTTTGCTTGTATATAAAATCAAAGTATAGAATAAAAGAGAAAAATACGGTAAAATACTTACCTTAAATCCAGAATTTAATCATGAAGGAAGTTCATGGAATAATTGACAATCATTATGCTCAATCCCAAAGCTTCTACTCAATTGGTTAGAGTCTCGTGCTGATAACGTGTTATGAAACAATAAAAGAAGAATAGTATTGCAGAGAAAAGTAGAGAGAGAGAATTCTTATTGATTTGGGATGAATTACAATAGAATAGAACCCTCTATTTATAGGGAGAGGGTGACTTAGCCACCAAGCAATGAACCCTAAATCTCTCTAAATATAGGCATTCACCATAAATACAATTCTATTTATAACAAATTCGATAATTTAATGTATAGTATAAAAAACATACTATCACATGTTAAAATTTATTGAATAACATAAAATGATAAATTAATCTTTACATTAATAGTATAATATATAACTTAAATCATTACATGTGGAATTGGTAAATATCTTTTACTCTGTCATGACGCTTAAACTTAAAAAGAAAAGAAAAGAAAAGAAATCTGCTGGTAGATGTTATGATAACATATAGGAGTATTTTTTACTTCAAATGTTTGGTCCATAAATATCCACGTCTGTCCCATAATATGAATTTCCTCCTTTACACAGATTCACAGACTCTCTATCAAGAAACCAAATCCTAGAGCAAACGTAAAATCCTCCCTATAAAAAGATCCCAAATTCTATTTCTCCAAACCCCAAAAGAATCTTGAAAACCCCATTTGTTAAAAAAATGGCCACAAAAGTAATGGAAGTAGTGAAAAAACTTGATATAGAAAAGTACATGGGAAGATGGTATGAAATTGCTTCATTCCCATCAAGATTTCAGCCCAAAAATGGTGTAAACACAAGGGCTACTTACACTCTGAACCCAGATGGTACAGTGCATGTGTTAAATGAGACATGGTCTGATGGTAAAAGAGGTTATATTGAAGGCACTGCTTATAAAGCTGATCCTAAAAGTGATGAGGCTAAATTAAAAGTCAAGTTTTATGTTCCACCTTTCTTGCCTATTATTCCTGTTACCGGAGATTATTGGGTTCTTCATATTGATGAGAATTATCAGTATGCTTTGATTGGTCAGCCTAGTAGGAATTATCTTTGGGTAAGTGCACTATTAACCTTTAATATTAATTAAAGTTTTTGTAGGTAAAGTTTTTTACCTGTGTAAGGTTTACTTACACTCTGCCCTCCCTAGACCCCACTTATGGAATTACAATGTGTTTATTGTTGTTGTATTTAAAGTTTTTGCATTTGCTATTTGGTATAAAATTGGTTTAGTTTTTATTAAGTAGATGTGAAATAGACTTAAATCTGCCTAAGCTTTAATGGGCATAGTTACCCTGTACCTGTATTGGTGGGAGGTAGCAGGTAACCGGTGGAATAGTCGAGGTGCTCGCTGGCTACCCCGAACATGAACAATGAGGATTTAATATTCAAAGTTATTGTCTTTGTCATTTGATATGAAAATTGGTTGAGTTTTTGTTAAGTAGATGTGAAATAGACTTACATCTGCCTAAGCCTTGATGGGCAGAGTTACCTGGTACCTGTGCTGGTGGGAGGTAGCGGGTAACCGGTGGAATAGTCGAGGTACTCGCAAGCTGCCTCGAACATGAACAGCGAGGATTTAATATTCAAAGTTATTATCTTTGTCGTTTGATGTACAAATTGGATGAGTTTTTAATATGTACATTGAGAAATGTTTAAAGGGGCTACACTTAAAATCACGCGGACAAAAATTGTCTCGAAAGATCTATAATCTCTTGGAATCTATGCAGACCTAGTGGAAAATAGGGTACAATTGAAGAGAAAAAACTATATCGGTAATAACAATTAGCTTGGTTATGTTTTAGTCATGTTAATATGTTTACCATAGGTCCGATGTTTTCTAGAAGTTTTTAGTCTTGTAAGAGATTGATATGCTGGTAAAAAATGTGGAAAACTTATACAATACTTTTATTGTTTAGTCCTATTAACCTTTGATATTCAAAGTTATTATCTTTGCCATTTGATGTACAAATTGGATGAGTTTTGAATATTGAATTGCTTGTGTGATTCTGAAAGTGAGTCTTGGTATGTAAAAGTTCTTTTTTTTGGATTTATTTGCCATGTTTAGTTTATAATCTTTCCTTAAACATGCTGTAGTTGACGGATTGTTTTGTGTTGTTTTTCCTTTAGTTTCTAAATCCTAGTAAATGTATGAAAAAATGGTAGTAATATATATTTCTATCTCTTTTTTATAAGATGATAAGGATAGAATTTCAGAGGTTGAAATGGAAATTTGGGGGAAAGCATTTGACTTAAACCATCTGGCCTTCTTCTAAAACAAAGAAGATTGATCATTTGTTATCTCTTTGTATCAGTTAAAATTAACGGAAATAGTCACATTTTGCTTAGATACACATATCTTCTTTGAAATTCAGAAGATGAACAAATTGCTAAAGAAGTAGTGCTCTAGGTCTATAACTTGAGAAGGCACTTAGTACTTAGTAGTAGTATTTCATTTGTTATTTGTCGATCGTTGAAACTAGCATCCGATGACAGAGTCTATGAACATTTTGGTTTTTCTTTTCGTAGTTGTGTTGATCTGCTTGCAGTTGTAATTTGCTTGAAGAGTTATATCAAGTCTGTGATACTTTGAGTTCTTCCAAGTCTGATACCTTAGTTGCATGAAAAAAATAAAGGTATACAACTTGGATTATAATTTGCGCCATTCAATTTTACAGTTAAAATTTTGTGAATGATCTTTCCGTTCAGCATGCTCATCCCATTAGATCTCATTTGAGCTTCCCCTTTCCTAAGATCTTGGACGTGCCATCGACATTATATGCTCTATTGGTCTATTTCGCAGAAAAACAGCTATATCTGACTACCTCGCTTGGCTTGAAATGCATGGGACGGAATGAATATTTTATATTCTAATTCTTGTCTGACTTTCTCTTTTCCTACTGAAACGAATATCATTTACTAAGAGAACATTAGGCATCATTCTTCCATATCCAATTCCTAAGCTTTTGTTCCATAAGTATAAAAGCGAGTAGTATATTTAGTTACATATAAAACATTCTTGTAGTTTCCATCTTTCCTGAGCCGAGGGTCTATCGGAAACAACTTCTCTACCCTCCGAAGGTAGGGGGTAACGTCTGCGTATATACTACCCTCCCCAGACCCCACTTGTGGGGCTTCACTGGGTGTGTTATTGTTGTTGTATAGAACATTCGTGTATTTCAAACCTTCTGTTTGTTAGGTTATGAAATGTGCATATCTTTTTAATGGATTCTTGTTTTCTGGCTTAATGAAATGTATCTGGCGGCGGTTTGTTGGCAGGTATTATGTAGGCAAAATTCTCTTGATGATGAGATATACAACCAGCTTGTTGAGAAGGCTAAAGAAGAAGGCTATGATGTGAGCAAGCTCCACAAGACACCACACACTAATCCCCCACCAGAAAATAATGATGCCCCCAAAGACACTAAAGGAATTTGGTGGATCAAATCAATCCTTGGAAAGTAGGCAAATGCAGTACAATGGTGAAAAAAGAACTACCTAAAGACCAGTAAAATGAGTGTTTAGAAACAGTATTTTGTGATATCCTAAATGTTTAAGCTTATGTTTTTGGAAATCTTTTGCCTCTGGAACTCTATAAAGTTGATAGTATCAATAGCATGTGATACGCATTTGAATTCTGTGTGAAATGTTTTGTTTTGTTTTGGGTTCACCCATCCAATGTGCGGAACTCAAATCCAAATCGGGTGGATCTTTATCCGAAGTAGAGCATAAACCTAAAAAGATGAAACAGACCCACCGGCTAATCGGGATTCGCATTGTAGAAAGCTTACCATGGGGGAGTTTTAGCTCTCCTATTGAGGTTCGGCTAGTCGGGATTCGAACCGTAGAAAGCCCATTATGGGGAGTTTTAGCTCTCCCTATCAAAGGGGATTATTCTCAGGGTCGGATTTGATACCTCTGGTCCCAGATGAGTGGCTCTTGGCTTCGTAAAAATATCTATGTTGTTACTTTTTCACTACCAATGAGTAGGCAGCTTTGGATGCTTATGGAGATATGGCTTTGGTAAAGATCTGCTTAGCGTGTGCTTTCTCGGGTGCTACTTAGAATAGAGATAGTCAGGCTCTAACTTGAGAATGTTATAGCGCTGTGAAATAAGGACATTCTGATCGACCCGATTGGCTCTCGTTCTGGTTTGGCGGAAAGGCGAAAAGCACTAAATCTTTCTTCCTGGTTGGTGTACTAGGGCCTTCCTTCCTTCGACAGTCGGAAAGTCTCTTAGGCGGTCTGAGGATACCAGCTTCGCCGACCCCGTCGTAGTTCTCAATCATTTCGTGGCACCGGGCGTGGCTGAACCATCTACGATGGGGGGAGCTATGCACAGGGAAGAAGCGCCGACGACTACATAAGCTAAAAGACTACAACTATAAGACAGGCCGGAAGCGACTCGCTTCTATTCAAGGCTGAAAGAATCTTTATCCTTGGTCGCCTGTGTGAAATGTTGATTCTTTACGTATTCTTTGACAATGAAGGTTCTTGGATACAAACAAAGTGGGATTTCATGTCAATATTTGGTATTGGTAGCTTAGTGTTGAAGCATTAAAGCAAAGGGACCTTATGTTTGTTGGATTAGACATTTGGTGCAGGTGCACTCACTGTATTTTGCTTGAAAGTTCTATAATGTAATTCTTAAAATGTGTATACTCATATCATGTCATTGTCACAAAGAAATGGTAGATGCAACAATATCAGTAACACTTTTGAAGATTTTTTGAAATTTATGTACAACTATTATAATTTATGAGCTTAGCATAATTGTTATAATTACTCCTATTTATTACTTTCATTTTCATTTATTGTTCTAACATTGACGATGATATTTATCATGTATAGGAGCACTAACTTTTAGACCAGTATCGTAAGACAAGTCGTTGTTCAGGCTGGGACCAGGGGTGGAGCTAGTTGGGCGGAAGGTGGTTCAGTCAATCCCCTTGCCAAAAAATGATATTGTGCATATAAGGTCAATTATTTTTTTTATGTATATATATTACATGTCGAATCCCCAAAAGACATCCCCCTTTTTGCTTTTGCAATTAGATTCTTTTCTTTCTATTTCTATTTTATTTCATTCACATGTTTACTTTTTATTTTTATTTTGAATCTCCTAGTGAACGAGGAATGATCACGGAGAAGCAATGACTATTGTTCATTAGGTTGTTTCTGATGGGCTCACAAAATTTTAGGGTACTCGGGGCCGGTCGCATAACACAAAAAAATTTGGGAATCGTCCTAAATTCCTGTTTTATGGCCCTAAAATGCCGAAAAATGAGGAACGGTCATGCTAAGCGACGACTATTATTCATTAGGCCGCTTTTGACGGGCCCGAAAAATATTAGGAGATTCGTGGCCGGTCACCCGAATTCATGCAAATTGCGTGGACTATAACACATGAAAATCTGAAAATCGTCCTGAATTCCTATTTTATGGCCCTAAAACGCAAAAAACGATAAACGTCAAGGCGAAGCGAAAACTATTATTCATTAGGTCATTTTTTATGTGCCTGCAAAATTTTAGGAGATTCGGGGTCCGTCGCCCGAATTCATGCAGATGACGTGGACTGTAGCACACGTAAATCTGAGAATCGTCCTGAATTCCTGTTTTATGGCCCTAAAACGCCAAAAAATGAGGAACGGTCAAGGCGAAGTGATGACTATTGTTCATTAGTTCATTTTTGCTGGGCCCGCAAAGTTTTAGGAGATTCGAGGCCGGTCGTCCGAATTCATGTAGATGGTACGGACTATAGCACATAAAAATTTAGGAATCATCTTAATTCCTGTTTTATGGACCAAAAATGTAAAAAACCGGGAACGGTCATGGCGAAGCGATTATTATTGTTAATTAGGTTGTTTTTTATGGGCCCCCAAAATTTTAGAAGATTCGAGGCCGATCGCCCGAATTCATGCAGATGGCGTGGACTATAACACACGAAAATATGGGAATCGTCCAGAATTTTATGGCTTTAACATACCAAAAATGAGGAATGGACATGGGGAAGCAATGACTATGGCTCATTAGGTCATTTTTGATGAGCTCGTAATGTTAGAGATTTATGGCCGGTCCCCGAATTCATGCAAATGGCGTGGGCTGTAGCGCATGAAAATATGAGAATTGTCTAAATTCATTTTTTATAGCTCTAAAGCGACAAAAAATGAGGAACAGTCATGGCGAGGCAATGACTATTGTTTCTTAGGTCGTTTTTGATGGGGCGGCAAAATTTTAGGCGATAGGGGTCCCATCGCCCAGACCAATGCAGATGGCGTAGGCTATCACACACGAAAATATGAGAACAGGATAAACTCCAGTTTTGTGGCCCTAAAACGCCAAAAAACGAGGAACAGTCATGGAGAAGCGATGACTATTATTTCTTAGGTCGTTTTTGATGGGTGGACAAAATTTTAGGCGATCAGGGTCCAGTCGCCGGGACCCATGCAGATGGAGTGGGCTATAACATACGAAATATCGGGTGGAATTCTAGTTTTATGGCCCTAAAACGTCAAAAAATGAGGAATGGTTATGGCGAAACCATGACTATTATTCCTTAGGTCGTTTTTGATGGGCCGCCAAAATTTTAAGTGATCCGAATCCGGTTGTCCGGATCTATGCAGATGGAGTGGGCTATAACACACGAAAATTTGAGAATCAAGCGGAGTTCCTGTTTTATGGTTCTAAAACGAAAACAAGATAAGGAATGGTTATGGCGAGGCGATGAGTATTGTTCCTTAGGTCGTTTTCGATGGGCCGGCAAAATTTAGGCGATGCGGGTCCGGTCGCCCGAACCCATGTAAATGGCATGGGCTATAGCATAGGAAAATTTGGGAATCGAGCGAAATTCCAGTTTTATGGTCCTAAAACGCAAAAAAACGAGGAAAGTCATGGCGAAACGATGACTATTGTAATTTAGGTAATTTTTTATGGGCCGACAAATTTTAGGTGACCCGGGTCCGATCGTCCAGACTCATGCAGATGCGTGAGCTATAGCACACAAAAAATTGGGATTTAGGCGAAATTTTGTTTTTTATGGCCTTAAAACGCCAAAAAACGAGGAATGGTCACGGCGAGGCGATGACTATTATTTTTTAGGTCGTTTTGATGGGCCGGAAAAATTTTAGGTGATCGGGTTCGGTCTTCCGGACCCATGCAAATGGCATGGGCTATAGCACACGAAAATTTAGGAATCGGGGGGGGGGGGGGTTT